GATAAGGTATTTGCACTTATAGTCCATATTATGTCACTACAATGTTTTTGAAACGATCACAACATTGAGAAAAAAAATTAAAGAGAGCGAATAAAAAAATTAAATAAATAAAGGATTTATAAAAAAAAAAAAAAAAAAAAAAAAAAAAAAGTGTAAATTTAAGAAATAAAAAATCTTAACTCTAAAGCTATACTGGAAAAGGCATCAATATGTCATGTCATTGTTCTTTATGTACAAAGCGGCATTTTCTTATTGTTTGCTTCGAAGTTGGTGCAGAAAAGGCATTACAAAGTGAAGTGCACCAAGTGCCATTTTGTATTAATTACTGGTCACGTGCTGAAAATCCGCATCTTGATTGGTTGTCTAGTAGACGCCGTTATATAAGCAGGCAAATTTCTAATAAAATTAGTATGTGGGCTAACAGAGATTTCTGTTATACGTAATATGGCTTTGTTACTATTAAATCCGTTATAACGGTTTAAATTATATATAAAAAATTCTGTACCTTGTAATTAATCCGTTAAACTGGTGATTCCGGTGTAAAGGTCTCCGTTATATCGATAGTTGACAGTAATCTAATACTAATATATATATAATTATTAATAGTTACTCTATAGTAAAGTTAAATTTTACTAAATAAATCAATATATCTTATTAAGTGAAAGCTACTTAGAGGAAGAAATACATGTATTTTAAAAGTTTTATCAAATTGAATAAATTTTATTAATTCATTTTGCATATTATATTTGATAAAAACTTTAAAAATATCTTAAAATTTCTATTTATTGAATGTAAAAAGCAAAAGTTAATTAATAAAAAGTTATCTGATTTATATAAAATTTTCAAAATATATGTATTTTGATCTTTTGAACAAACTTTATTTAATATATATAATTGATTTATATAATAACAATTAAGCAAAATTTACTTTTACTCTAATATAATTTTTATATTTTTAATTATTATTATTAAAAATTTTATATAGTTAAATTAGACAATTTTGATTGGCTAATAATACTATCTTATATAGCATTTGATAACCTCTCTAACTTCCTCTCTTCCTAAAAAATCAGATGATATATAAATGTTTATACCCTAACTGATATATTATATATATATTTAAACTATCTAAACTATAAATTTGATATTATTTGGCTGCCTTAATAGATACTCAAATATAGTCTACTTCACTGGTTAAAGCATTAGCTAGTGAAGCTAGCTATAATAAATAATCTCAATTTAAAAATTTTTATTAATATTTCATCAACAATTAACTTTTTTAACTTTAACTTTCTCTTTATAATATTCTACTTCTATTTTATTATCTAATTTAGCTTTAATTTCTATTCTATTAGAGAAGTGCCAAAATTCACATGATTTTTATTATAGATATATAGTTAAGCAAAAGATCATATACATATATATATAATATAGTCAAAGTTAGTACAGACCAGTTAATAGTCAAGCTTGACCAAACCAGTTTGACCAGTTTGATCAATTAGTTAAAGAGCTTAGTATTAGTCAAAATTAGACAAAAAATATTTTAAATATATATAGTATATATATATATTTTTGTTCTTTTTAATTAGCCTCTTTGGGACTAAGGTTTTTATTCAAGTATTTACCAAGTGAGGGGCTCATCCCAACCCCATACATTAAAGAATACATTCTAGCTATGCCTGCACCTTTTGAGCGTCTAATTAAGTATCTACCTATTGCTAGGTTCTATACTAGATGTTGTACCTATAACCCACTATTACTTGAGCTATCCAATTAAACTCTCTGTAATGCAACTCTACCTGTATCACTATTACATCTTTACAAAGTTCTAGATTCTTACCTATACTCTTAGAACTAATTTATCCTTGAGACATCATTGCTAGAGCAATCCGTACCCACAATCTGGTTAACCTAGGCTTTCGGTAACTTACGTCGAGTCCAAGGACAAGTACTTGTGAGCTGAGGCTGCTACTGTTACCTACTACCACCTTTATAGAGTTCACTCAAACCCCAGCACCCACTATACAGACTATCTCCCATACACTTGTCATCCCAAAATTCCAATTCAGATGGCCCAGAAGGGCTGTAACCTGCTCTTGGTCCCCACAGTTGGGTCCTTTTTCTTCAGTTACTCTCTAGCGCCCAGGTTGGTGGAATGCTTTGCCAAACACTTCAGACTTGTTCGGTTTTTCAGTTTTCAGTTAATAATTCTTTACGTAATACCATCAAAGATCTGTGCTACCTCTCTACTCGGGTCTTGCCAAGCAGGCTCCTATACTCTGTAAATTTGCTGGATTTATCTAGTAGCTTCACTCGGGTTTCGTATAACTCATACATTACACTATATGTTCCACTACCTCTCAGTACAAGCTGGTACAACCACCATTACAGGTTCTATAACCCAATAGGATACAGTCTTCCAAATGCATTTTTTTAAATTCGAATTTTCATTGCCAGTGGGATTTGAACTCTAGTTCTGCTGCTTGGGGTGCAACAACTTGCCAACTTCACTAAATCACCACACCCATATATATAGTATATATATATTTATATATTTATTTATTTTGTATACTAAATTTATTTGTTTAATAGACTAGACCATTTGACCAATTTGACCAGACCAGTTTAACCAATAAAATTTTTGGTTAACCAGTAATTTGACCAACCCTAACAGCTAATATAATATATAATCAAATATAATGAAATATATATATTTTTTTAAAATATTAAGGTGACCACTTAGAGGTCTGACACATGCTTATGACAGATTTTTTGCTTCAGTTTTACTGTAGGTAGATCTGGTACTAGGGATTAGTATCTCTACTATTTGATTAAAAAACCCTTTTAAATGTGGGTCTTCCTCTTCAATCATTTGCTGAAAGCGGGTATGATCAAGTTCTAAGCTGTCAATTTCATAACGCTTTTTGTATAGGAGGGTTGTAAGTTTTTTAAGCTGCTCAGCGAATGTATGATCTGTTAACTCTGATAAAATTATGGATCAATATACTTAATAAAAATAAGTTGAATATATCTTGAGCTTCCAATTTACTAGTAAGATGAACTAATACATAATTGGCTTTTCATGCTAACTACACAGTAACTCTTGATATAACAGACCAACGATACAACGGATATTGCTTAATTGGAGAATTAGAATTAATAATAATATTATTTTAATATATCATGATATTTTGGTATTGTGAAGCTTTTGATATAACAGAATAAAAGATTGAAACAATGGCCTCTATTATATCGAGAGACACTGTGTACATGCTAGTTATTCGGCTTGCATTGATTTGTATCCCATCATTATATTGTTACCTTGAGTTATATTATTATTGACCGATTTTTCATAATTATGATCAGCTGTTTCTAAGGGGATAGGAACTTCTGCCGTTTGATGACTGTCAGGTTTAACAATGCGCATGTAATGATTATAACACAATTGGTTTCCAACTGTTAAATAGTTATAAGAGGCGTAGGTTCCTTTCCTTTGGGCTTTTTCATATGCCAATTTTGTAAATTGACGAAAGCGACACGCTTTTGCATCACAATTTTGAACTGAACATGGACCTTGATTTTTTCAAGCCCCATAATTTTAATTTTTAATTTAATAGAAGTTCTAATAGAGAGGTACAAAGTTATAAAATTAAGCCTAGAAGTAATAACGCGTTGATGGTGAATACAGATATAAAGAAACAAAGTTGCGAAAAATCATTAGTCCTGTGATTTATGCATTAAGATCATGTACAACGTGAAGATTTAGGAAGAAAAAAAAAACAATAAATCGAATATAAATGATATGGTAGCTAATGTTTTATCATTAAGTAAAAGTTTTAACACAAAAGCCTAAACGCGTCCTTGTTCGTTGTATTAATATTGGCCTAGACATTCAGATAAATATTTAAAGTAACATTGGCTAATATCCTTATACAATATTATTATCTACACAACTATTTTTGTACAAATAAATTTAATTTAGAGAAAACCGTGTCAGTATCGATCGGTGCGCGCGAAGGAATTCATTTATTAAATTAACCAATCGGAATTTTTTATGGCACAGATCACCATTAACCAATGAAATAGAACTTGACCTATGCTTTACTTATATTACTGTATTACTGCCAATATCACGACTTTCGACATTATCCTACATTACGACTTACGTCAATACTACAAAAGTTGCAACTTAGTAGTGAAAGTTGCAACTCCGTACCTCTAGTGTCTACATAAAATATTTTTTCTAGACCAGTATGTTTATATATTGGTTTAAAATGTGTTTATCGTTATGCATTAATAATAAAAATAATTCTGTATATGCCTATTAAAAACATAAAAATATAACTAATCATTTTTGTGTTGTTCAATTTTTTCTTTTTAATCTTTAACGCGATTAGACCGTTAGTACTATATAATTAATTATATATACTATACAGTATAAAACTTAACTTTTAAATATTTGTAATACAATGAAATTTATTGTCTGGGGATTGTATATATCACACAGATATATAATTCATTCATAACCAGTGGAAAATGTCTAAAAGAACACTAGCTCACTGGTACTTTATTATAATAATATATCTCACCTATTTGATTAAAAATTATATAAATAAGAGGAATCTAATAAAATCTATATATCATACCAAAATATAATAGTAAAGAAGTAGACTTCATATAATAAATTTGTTATTATATTTTCTTTGCACCAAGTACTGAATTTTTTTTCTTTTTTTCCTTCAACATTGACATTCTCTATATAAATATGAAATATACACATCAAACTAACATCATAAAACAAAATTTCATATAATACTTAGAAACAGAATTCTAACCTGTCGCCTTTCTTCTCTTTTCTTGCTAAGTTCTGCTGCTTTATCTTCTTTAGAAACGACGATAGAAGGCGTCAATTTTTGAATCGGGCTTACGGATCTAGTTGAAGTTGTTGGTGATGGTCTTGAAGTATTCCAATCGTCATCCCATCCATCATTATTGCTCCATTCAAAATCATCTAATTCCCAACCATCCGTCGGATGTGCTGCGAATGTTTAAATAAATGCATCAAAAATTTTTCTTCAAAAACTATTCTTAAAATAAAAAAATAACAAAAGAAACAACTCACATTCAGAACCTCCTAGCTTCATTGGTGATGTTGCTGCAGAAACGCTCTGTTCCATACCAATGCTATCATTTGTACTGTTCGTAGGTTCTGTTATAATTTCGCCTTCAAAATTTAACCCAGTAATCTTACTGTTTGTAGGTGTTGTTACAATTTCGTCTTCACCGTTTACTCCGGTAATCTTGCTGTTTGTAGGTGCTGCTGCAATTTCGCCTTCGACACTTACCCCAGCGATCTTTTCCGATTCATAAATATCATATATACTATTAGATATATCAAACTATGAAATATATATATATATACACTAATGTAGTGATTTTTGCATCTTTACCTTTTTAGTCAACGATGTAACAGCCCATCCAGTCCAACTTTCGGCAACACTAACCACGCTACCTGCAACTGATGTCGATAACGAAGTATCGCCGTTTCCTGCCGAATTTTGTTCAGGTATGATGGCTGAATCGGGCTAATAATGCATAATAGAATTAGTTCTACAAATCATTAAATTAGGAACATACACATAAAATGTTTAATTTTACAGATACCATTGATTCAACCAATTTTTCTAACCGTTTGACAATTGCATCAAGCGATTTGAAAGCTTGAATGCGTACTGGTCTATACATATAGCGAGAAATCGAACGTCTTTACAATTCGAATAACAAATTCAACTTTCAATTAAATATTATATATTCAACATACTTCTCTTTATCAACCAAAACTACTGACACACAAGGCAATATTCGGGTTGCACAATCAGTTGCGTCATAATAATCTAGTGTTGCTATAATTGTATAATAGTAAAGTATGTAAACACTACACCTTAACGTGTTAAAGCGATGTTGTTTGTTCATTGGTAATTGCGCATCCTTATATTATATATTTATTACGTGATGTAATAAATGATAAAATAATGTGACAATTATCAATAAACAAACCGTTTGACAACATAGTGTTAAAGAAATTCAAATCTTAAATATTAACTACCTGTCAGAGCCATCAAACTTGCCGCTCTAGCATGGGGAAACGGGTCTCTCAGTGCCCTTGTAAATGCAGTCGCTAATACTTTTTTTTTTGTCTATATTAATATATATTAACATATAATAATACATCAAAATTCACAAGCTAAGCATTGATATGTATTTATAAAAAAAGTATTTAAATTTACAAACTTACGCTGTCACTCAGGTATTTGCTAATCTTGCCTAAGCAAATAGTAGTATTTGTTCGAATACCAGGCATTTCGTCCATTTGTAACTTTGCCAAATGGCGCAACAAATCGTTGTTTATAACGCGATCGGTCAACTATTATTCATGGAAAAATCCATTAATATAATATCATTTTATAAACAATTGTCACACTGTTGAATTTAGTTACCTTTGGAGCGAGCAAAAGAACTGATTTTACAGTACTCTCTCTGATAATTGGTACGGTATCTGTAAATCCTGTTGCCTGTACGAATATTAATTAAGATCATCAAGCAATAATCCATTTTAAGGAAAAGTTCCTACCACATGGGGAAATACTTTCTCATTAACCGTTTTATTGTCTAAATGATCAATAAACGAGCCTAAATTTTCTAACAAACTCAGACGCATAGTTCGATCAGGTACAGCAAACATTTTTACAATAGATGCCACTATAAATTCTTCATATTCATTATCATCAAGAGTTTCACCGATCTTTATTATAGAAGGCAGCACCTTTGCACCACCTAAGCAAGGAAAATGATAAATAAGAAAAGTGGTAGCAAATAAAACATTCAAACTCAGTTAACATAATTTTATTTACCTGAACCAAATTCTAAAGCTTTAAGGAGTTCCGGCAAAATTTTATATTTGCAAATATTTACAGGTAATTTATCAATCGTATTAATCAATTTGCTGAATAATAAATTATAGATTAATGACGTTAGTTTATTATATATGATCATACTGTGAAATGCTCACCTAAAAAAAATATCTTTTTCTCTTGCTTCTTTAATGTTCATATTCTCCAAAAATAAATTAATTTGTACCAGATCATTCTGAAAAAATCCACCGGCGCGTAAGCCAATATCAATGAAAGCAGATATTTTAATTCGAGATTTTGGATTGGCTCTTATCAATTGTTTGTATGGAGTCAGAATATTCTGAAAATAACAAGAAATAACAAGAATGATTACATTTATTAATTTAAAATGTAAAAAAACTAGAAGCATAATTTAAATAATTTACCTGTGGTATAACACCAGCATTTTCAAGTTGATTAGTAGATGAGAACGCTCCATTATACACTTCATAGATCAAAGTTCCGTAATTCCACGAGTCTGTTACCCACACATCATGTCTAACCTCAAAGAACATAAAAGAAATAAATTTTAATTCTCGTTAATAATCACTAA